GCTGGAGCAGCTGGGGAAGGTTTGGCTTCAGGGAGAATGCAGTGTTCAGTCCTGAGGGACGGTGGCCAGGACAGCAGATCACCTGGGTTGGGTGCATCTCCATGGCCACCACGGCACAGGCCCCTCAGGTTCTGTGTTATCTCCAGAATCCGATGAATAGGCACTTCTGATATTATTTTCAACCTTCAGCCCTCAGCCCAAAGCAAGACATTTCAACATATGATCTCACTGAATGTTCCCAACTGATCAAGGTACCTGTTATCATGTCATTTTACAGATGAAGAACTTTGGCTCCATAGATAAATACTCTTCCCAGTCATGTGGGAGTCACGTTCAGTTGCTTCACTGAGCTGCCAGGCCAGGCCGTGCCAGGGGTGTCGTGCTCCATCCCCAAACCCTGCCAGGAGCCCAGGAAGCAGCCTTTCCTCCCAGTGTAAGTGGCATGACCTTTTTTCAGCCACCCTTATGTCATCCTCCGTCATCCTATGAGATAGCTTCCATCTGCATTTTACAGAAGAGAGGAAGTGGAGACAGAAATGTGAAGTGCCCTGTCTCCGTCACCTGCTGGAGAATAAAGGGGCCTCAAGGTGCCTGGGCTTGTCTGACTGTAAACTCTGCACTCACCATTAGGCCACAGCTTCCCCAGACAAGCTCCCAAGACAGACTGCTGCCCTTTCCATGTCTCACACCCAGGTACGTGCAAATACGTGTGTGTGTGTGTGAGAGAGAGAGAGAGAGAGCCCATCATGCTTGTGCACAAGCTGTAACCCAGTTCAGCACCAGGTCCCTGATGTGTCAGTAGCTCAGTTCTTCCACAGCCTCTGGATTCTGTAAGTCGAGGCCACACCCCTATCAAGGAAGCCTGCTGGACAGAATCTCACCGTCCTTTTCATTCATGTGACCCATAACAAGTGTCACACATGTGTCAGGTGGATGTGCACATGTGTGTGTGTGTGCGTGCGTGTGTGTATGTAAGCCTATCACATTTGTGCATGAACTGTAGCCCAATGCCAAGCTCTCCTTTCCAATCCCCAAACGCCCTAAGCTTCTGTGTGTCTACCACCAGACACCACCTCCTTCTGTCTTTGTGTGTGTTATTTCATTTTACTTTTTCCCAGCTTCATTAGTGCATATTTAATAATGAAAATCAAATACTTTAATATGTGATGATTTGATACACAGATCTTTCACTGTCAAGTGATTACATCAATCAACACGCTATCCCTGCCTCGTTACCCTGCTGTGTGTGGTGAGAGCACTCAAGCTCTGCTTTCTTGGCTGATTTCTAGAATACAATATGGCATTATTAAGCACAGTTGCCATTGTACATTAGAGCTCCAGAATTTTTTCATCTTGCAGTTGAACGTCTGTGCCCTCCTCCTGTCTTGAGAAACCTGTTTGCCCGGGTGTATGGGAGTGAGGTTGCCAGTGGCAGCAGGGACAGCACCTCATTCTGAGCCTTGTCTCCTTTCTCATCTGACCCCTGGGGCCTGGGTAACGCTGACCCCAGAGCAAGCTCTCTTTCCTCCAGGACCATATTTTGCAGAGGAATAGACACTGTCCCTCAGAACCCAAGGCCCAGTGGACTGGAGTGAGATTTCAGGGCTTTCCCCTCTCCTCTCACCTGGGGGAGGAGCCACGGCTCATCCGGGCCTTACCTGAGCTGTCAGGGCAGCTGTGGGAGGTCAGGCCAAAGCTGCATAATCCTTGGAGCTGAGACTGAGAGGTTTGGTACAGTTCAGGTTGTGCCGACAGGTGTCAGTCAGGTCTGGCAGGGGTAAGTGTTCTGAGAGCAGAGTCTATAAAGCTCCCTTATTTTCTTCTCTTTTTTCCACCCCTGGATCTGGGTTGCCTGCTTTCTCTGTTTTACCCCTTTGCATAATCCTCCTTCCCTCTGGAATCAAGCACCCAGCCTGACTACACAGGGGCTTCTTTGGTCTTGCTTCTCTGTCTAACCCCAGAGAGAGAGCACAGGCACTGCCTTATCAATGCTGGGGTGTCACTGGCATTGTATTCTTGGGGAGTGATGCCCCTGGAGTTGTAGATTGGACAGACACAGTAGAATTTCATGGAGCTGTGTTTAGATTTGAACTGAGCTGAACACAGGTATGTGAAAAGAACAGCGTCCCAGGGCAGAGAAGGAGGGGTGAGTGAGGCTAGGGTGGCAGGACAGGGGCTGGCAAGGTCTCTAGAACTGGGGCCCAGAAACGGGGGGGCTCCTGTCCCCAGCCCAGCCACCTCTGCAACCTGCTCAGAGCTCCCATCTGAAGAGGGAACACAGAGCTGATTCCTACACCACCAGGTGAGACGCCCCTTCCAGACTCTCGCTCCCTAGAGGAAGGCTCAGGACAGTGGTATAGAGAAGCTTTTAGAGTCGGGCAAATTTTAATTCAAAACCCAAACCAACCATGGACACCTGCCAGGGTGGAGGCCAGTCAGAGGTACAGTCAGAGGGACTGCACAAGATTCTTCTTGGGGAGAAGAGCATTGGCAGCACACCGGGGAACATGCAGGCAGCAGAAAGAAAGAGGCCCTTCAGGTCTCTCTGACTCAGGAAAAGGAGATATTGCTGGCCTGCTGTTTTCCATTTACCTCCTCTGCTCTTGTGAAGCCCAACTTCTGACCTCTAGGAGCTGCAGTGTGAGGAGGAGGGAGAGGTTTTAGGGAGCAGGAAAGTTTTGACTGGAGTAGGACTCTTCTGAGAAGACTCTGGCTCATGGACTGGAGGAGGGAGAAGGTTGACTCTTTCCTGAGGACACTCCTGGGAGTACCCAGGATCCCTCAGCTGGAGAACTCTCCAGTGTAGCCCAGGCAAAGCACCAAGTCCAGTTCTTCCACAGCCTCTGGAATTCAGTGTTCACTTTCAGATTGTGTAGGCGGAGGCCCTACCCCATCACGGTGGCCTATGGACAGGATCTAAGAAGATCCCCCAGTCTTTTTCATCCATCTAGTCATACACACACACACACACACACACTCACAATTCTTACACAATCTTTGCCCACCCCAGTTTGCAGTACAATCCCAAACCAGCACCTCCCAGACACACCACAGCTGAAGCTCCTGCCATTTCCATGTCTCAGGTTGGAGTCAGACCCTGGTCCTCACAACTGAGGGGGATGCTCCCAAACTCTTCAAGTTTCCCTGCCACAACTCCTGTGTGCCCAAATCTGCTGGTTTAGAATTAGGCAAAATGTGTGGGGACGGAGGCTCAGCCTCAAGGATCCATGAGGTGGTGGGGGACAGGGGGCATGTAGGCAGCAGTGCAGTCCTTGGGGTCAAGGTGAGCCCTTCCTGGTGAGGAAGGCAGGAGGAAGTGCAGACTCAGCAATCTCCTGCTATTCTCCTCTTCCCTTCTCTTCTCTTCTCTCTTCCTGGGAGCCTTCACTGTGGTACCTTCAGTGACCTGAGCTCAGTCCTGTCTTTCTCCCTTCCCTGATTAACACCCAAGGCCCTTCCAGCCTCATCTCCCTCTGCTCCTCCACTCAGCTCACTGCCAGGGGCTGTCTGACCAATCCTCTCTGACATCTGGCCCCTCACATTTTCCTGATGTTGCTAACTCTTCTCCTGTCTCCCTTGCTCCTCTCATTTATCTGATAAACTCTTATTCATCATCAGATGTGAAAGACATTTACTCTGCAAACACTTTGAACTACGCTTCTGGCATCTAATGGTTATGAATTCTTCTGACCCTGTCCCAGATATGAAATAACCTAACCTTCTTCCTAGATCAATGCCCCACTTCTTGGAGTACGGTGTGACCTATGCCTAAAGTTCTGGTCGGGGGCTACCTCTCACTTTCCTTATCTCAGAAAAGGAAAGGGCTCCTACACCCAGCCTGGGATTGTCATGGGATGCTGGGGGTGCCATAGGTTCAGGGCCAGCCCGGATCCTTTACCTGCTCCAACCTGAGCCCCTGGCCTGTGTATGTAGCAGGTGCATATAAGAGGATACTAGACTGAAGTGTCCCAAATGCAGCTGTTTTGGAAGGACCAGGTAAACGAGCATGCCTCGTGCCAGGGCTATGGCCTCCTTAGTTTCTTCATATTAACCCCAAGAACAGGCAGTAGCTCAGGTTTACAGAGGGTCTCAGAAGCGCATCCTAACCTCATTGGCATTGCAAGCCAGGCAAGGCACAGTCACATTAATGAGGACACCCAGGCTCGGAGACATTCAGCAATTTGCCCAACGTGATCTGCATTTGGTGAGAGGTGCAGCTGGGACTAGAAGGCGGGCTCCCTGAGTACACAAAGCTGGTCTTCCCTGAGCCCGGGGAATTCTATGTCCTCTTCAGGGAAGACCCACCCATTCCATCTGTCACAGCACAGGAGAAGGGTGTGGACCTGGCATCAGAAGATGTGAACTCTGGTCCTGCCTTGCACAGAAGGTCCTGCTCTGTTCCTTAGAATGACCCTTGTCTCTTCCTAGAGCTCAGTGTCCTATAGAGTAGGAAAGGGAACATGACATCCCCATGGGTTACACGTGGGAGCTCATGAGGTGGTGGCTGCCTTGCAAGGGTCTTGGTGGCAGCTTCTTTTCTCTTCCCTCATTTCCTTCCCAATGGGTGAAGGAAACTCGCATTGAATAGATGATTTAGAAAGCTGGATTCCAGTCCCAGCTCTGGCTTTACCTCCCTAGGCCTCAGTTTCCCCTCCACAGAGCGGGAGCTTGAACACCTTGATTTCTGAAGTCCCTTCAAGCTCTTGGGATTTGTGACTCTGCTGCTTTCCCCTCCTGCTCCTGCTCCTGCCCCTCTGAGGGTAGTGAGGGTGTATGTGCATGTGTGTGTGTGTGCCTGTGTGTGCATCTGCAGGGGCAACAGGGAAAGAGGGGGGGCAGGAGTCCTACAGGGATGAGGGGCAGTTGGGAGTAATTTATGTGCCAGCTTCAGAGCTTTCTCCAAGGCTAATGGAGCCTGGGGCTGATTAATTATTAAAGGAAAGGAATTAATCCAGGAGCGCCTCAAAGTCCAGCCAGCTGGGGACTGATTGTAGCAGCCGAGCAAGAGCTGGCAGCAATGGGGCCCGGAGCTTCAGGGAACCTGCTCAGGATGGAGAGAGCTCCGCGCTCAGCCCTGGGCCCTGAAGTTAGTCTGCATGCCTACGACATTGGGGTGGTGGTCACCTACTTTGTCTTCGTCACTGCTGTGGGGATCTGGGTAAGTGGGGCCTGAGGCCAGGGCCTGGGAAGGGAGGTGGGAGCTGGAGGCAGAGGTAGGCAGAAGGAAGGGGATCACAGAGCATAGGAAACTGAGATGGAACTGACTTCAGGAATCGTCCTCCCCCACCTAACCTTCCATAGGAGGGAACTGAGGCCCAGAGAGTACTGTGGCCTGCCAGAGGTCACTCAGTGAGCCAGAGGCTGACCAGGCCTGGAGCCCCTATGTCCATCTCCCTATCTGTATGCATCTGACACTTTTGGTCCCAACATCTCTGACCACTCTGAGCCTCACTCCTGCCTTCTCCAACTCAAAGACGTTCAAGGTGGAGAAAATCTGACTGCCCAGCCCTCTCTCAGTCCTGTTAATATCTGGGTCAAAGAGCTGGGGCTCATGTATTCTAAAGGGCACCAAACATATTCCAAGGTCCCTCTGATCTCCATTGATCCCAGGAGTCGTGGCCCTGGACAGGACCTGGCTTTGATGTCAGGAAGCCCTGAGCTCAGGTCCCAACTCTAGCAATCAGAGTCACATGACCCTGGGAATATAGAAGCCTCTGTGATCTTGGGTTGTCTAATGTGAACATGGAAAGTAAGATCAGTGCTGTAGAAAGTTGTGATCATTCAGTGACAGGACACATCTAAGCACTTGGCATGGTGCCTGGCTGCTAACGTCACCATAACACTCTGCAGAGAGGCCAGCACCTTAAGACAGCTGCCAGGCAGACTCTGATCCAAGTCCCATTTAATCACTGCCTGGGCTGTATCGAGGTCAGGAACACTTTCTGAGCTTCAGTCCCCTCCCCTGTAAGGGGAGGTGACAGTCCCTGCCTCCCAGAGCTGGTGCAAGAAGTAAGCAGGCAGGTGCTCAGTGGCTTGTGGGAGGTGGCCAGAGGGAGAAGTGCCAATCCTACTATGGGTTGGACAAGCTGTTTCCTGCCCAGCACTGCATTTTCTCATCTGTGAAATGAATTTGTGTCCCTCCTATGGCCTCCAGGAAGATCAGAGGTGAATGTCCAAGCAAAAGCTTAACAAGCACAAGGCCCTCTAGTCACTAATTTCTTTCCCCTTTTCCTTCTTACCTTCAAGGATTTCTCGAATCTCAGACCCAGTCAGAGAACTGCTGCCCTCTGCATTGGAATACATGCTTTGAGTTCACCCTTCTCTGCCAGCTGTATTGGCCTAGGGTCCCCAGAACAGGCTTGCGCTCCTCGCTCCCCTTTATTCTTCAGAGCATGGCCCCAAACAGGCTAGCCTCCTACTGGCTCCCACCATGGTCCTGATGGACTTCAGGCCAGGCCAAGGGAATCCCCCAAACAGAGCCCATCATCCTGACGAAAGCCCAGAATCCCAGTCAGACTGGGTGGAATGGCTGCCCCTCTCTGGTGTGGGAGACCAGGTGGGAGGAGAGGAGAGGCAGTCACTATGCACCAGAGGCTGAGATTCCAAACCATGTCCTAAAGGAAGACACTGGGGGGAGGGAAGGAAGGGGACACTGATTACCAACGGGCACACATGCACAGCATTGGCCATTCATGAAGACCTTGGACACCCTTTACCTCCTTTGCTCTTCATACCAGATCTGGGGGAAGGTGCCAAGGCTCACAGAGAGGAAGCAGCTCTCCCCAAAATGCACAACTTAAAATGGCAAAATCTGCCAGCACTCAGGCAGCTCTGCCCTGCCTCACGTCTCACCCTCCACATCCCCTCAGTGCCTGGGTGGAGGACAGAGGCTGGGAGAAGTGCAGGAAGTCTTTGTCTCTTGCTGTTTCCTTTCCAGTCGTCCATCCGTGCAAGCCGAGGGACCATTGGGGGCTACTTCCTGGCGGGAAGATCCATGAGCTGGTGGCCGGTGAGTGGACCTTTCTCCCTTCCCTCTCCATGTGGAGGCTCAACTTCCCTCCTTCTCCCACCAACCACAGACTCCTCTCTGCCTCTCTCCCTGGGCCGAGGGAACAGCTTCCCACTCCAATCCATCCAGCAAACAAGTGACCTTGCTACCTAGGACAAGTGTCCCGTGGACACCTCCTAGATTTGGCACCAGGGCTTTTGAGAGCTCAGAGGAAGCCCCTGAGCTGCAGGCAGTGGCATGGACTAGAGGGAGAGGTAGAAAAAAACTGAGGGAAGGGGAGGTGACACATCAGCTTATAGCAAAGAACAGGCAAATGAAGAGAATCAGCAGAAATCCCAGCCACCTCAATAAATCAATCTCCAAACCGTCACAAAATCCCCAATCTCTCCCATCAACCCACCAGCATTTCCACCTGTCCTCAGAACTAACTTCCTCCTCCAAGAATGGGAAGGAGGGAGGTCAGCCCTGCCCCAGAAATCTAACAGGAGAGTCATCAGCTGGGTGGAAACAGAAGCCGTCTACACACCCAGGCATGTCCCACTCACATTCACACCCTCACACTCACATACTGACAATCACACACTCAGTCACACTCACTCTCACACATGCACTCCTATCCCTGCTCACACATTCACACTCTCCTAATTCCACACTCAGACTCACACGCACAGCCCCAGCCACCTTCCCACCTGTCTCGGTTCTCACCACTTTCCCTGCCCACCACTAAGCACTGAGAGTGGAGGAAACCCAGGGGGGTGCAGGGCTCTCTGGTAGGCATGGGTATCTGAGGCAGGAAGAATCAGAGGCAGGAACTTCTCAAGCTGTCTAGTATGATAGACTCCCCAGGCGGTGGGGGTATTAGAGGGCCTGGAAGCTCACAGGGACAGGGACAGGTCACTGGAGCTGCCAGCCACATCCACATTAGGAGAAAGGAAAAGCCCTTGGAGTGGTTCTGCTCAGTCAGTGCCCCCTAATCACAGTCCTGGAAAGAATTCAGGCCAAGACGAAAGCAGGACAGCAGGCTCCTCTGACAGGGTCAGGAGAGGGCCTAGGAACCCAGGCTGACTGCCCATTTGCTTGCAGAGGGCAGAGCTCTGGGTCCTTCTGTGGACATGAGGAAACCCCAGGCCTCTGAGCAGCAGGGTCCCTGTATGCCCCCCACACTGTGTGGGAACCCATGGAGAAAAGAGGATGTGCTGCCCAGGGCTGTGAATTGTGCCTCCTGCACCAAGACCTGGGTTCAGCTTGAGGATGGGCTCACAACCACCCCTCAGGGCAGGAAGGTCTGTCTCCTACTGCTGGAGCTGTGTGTCTGGCTGTCCACCAGGTCCTGAGACTGTGCTCCAGGAAAGGCAGATGGCTAGAAAGCTAGGAGCTGAAGGAGCAGCAGCCATTCCTCCTCTAGAAACTCAAATGCCCTCCTCCCTTTGCCTTCCCCATGATCTTGCCCAGGTCTCCTGAGTGGGGTGAGGTGGACAAGCTTCACCACTCAAGGGAGACACTCTTCCTCTGAAGCAGGGGGCCCAGTGCTCTCTGCTCTGGTTAGGTGGTCCAGCCCAGCCCTGTCAACACCCCAGGCCACCTGAGAGTGAGAATGAGTGTGTGGGAGTGCATGTGAATGCGCACATAGGTCTATGCATGTGCGTGTGTGCATGTTTGTATGTGTGTGTGAGTGCATGAGTTATGCACATGTGTGTGCATGAGGGTGACTGTGTGAAAATACATGTGAGTACATCATATGTGTCGAAGTGAAGTGTGTATGTAAGTGTGCATGTAAGGATGTGGACACATGTCTGTAAGGTGTGTGCATGTGTGAGCCTGAATATATTCATATGTGTGTGTGCTAATGTAAGTTTGTAGTACATATGTATGTGCACATATGTACGTGGGTTTGAGTGTGCGTGTGTGAGCGTATGAATATAAGTGTGTGCACATATGTGTTTGTGCATCTCTGTGTGTGCGTGTGACTGCATGCACACATATTGGGGTGGAGGCAGCACAAGGGCCTCAGCAACATCAGGCCACACGTCTGTCTCCATGCCTTTACCCTGCTCTGCCACCTCATCTCTGAATTTCTCAATCCTTTTCCTTTCCTAGCACCCCTGGGAACAAGTGTTGGGAAGAGGTGAGTGTCCAGATTTTATAGCTGAAGAAGACAAGGTTTTATGAAAGAAAGTAATTTTGTTAAGGTGACATGGGGTATAAACTGGAGCCTAGCTCTTCCCTCCAGCTCCCAGTCCTGTCCCCAGTGTCTCCTCAGGCCTCTTCTCAGGCCTCAGAGGCCCTCCCTCTGCCCCCAGCCCCTCCCAGTCCTGGATCCCATCCAATAATAAGACATAACATCGAACAAAGGTTTATTAGGTGTCAAGCACCATTTGTCTAATGGTTACAGGAGCCAGAAAGCCAGGATTTTAATCTTCATTTGGTCATGTATTAGTTCTGGGACTTGAGCAACTTACCTATCTGTGCTTCAGTTCCCTCATCAGTAAAATGGGGGTAATAACTGTGTTAATTAGTTATGTGTTACTGTAACAAATACTGGAAATAAATAACTTATCAAAAAAAAGGTTTATTATTACCCACCTCATGACCAGGGAGCAAAAGAGAAAGAAGAGGACATTAGGGTCTCATAATTCCCTTCAAGGGCATTCCCTTCAATCCCCAATGACCAAAGACCCCTTACTGAGCCAGGCTTCTTAAAGATTCCACCACTGTCAAATAGTGCCACATGCTGGGGACACATTAACCTCTGAGGGATATTTATTTGAACCCTAGTAATAATAGTAACCATGTTACTGGGTTGTCATGAGGATTAAATGAGTGACTGTATACATAGAAGCGCCAACAAGCACCAACTGCTCTGATGATTGGCATCATCGGTATCATTATTGTGGCTTCTGCTGCCTTAGAGGAACTGGCTGTCCTCCTGGAGAAAGAGGAACTCAACCCAGAGGCTGGCCTGGCCTGGGCTCAATATCTCGGCCCCTCTGTCTGCCTGGCCTGGCCCTAGAGTCAACAGGAGGCCTCCCAACCTCCTGTGGCGGATTCTGTGCCCTTTGCAGCCTCCTTCTCCCTGGACATCCTTAGGCTGGTGGCCCCAGGGCAGAGCGTTGCCCTTCCTGTACGGGCCTACTTCCTTGGCTTCCCTTTTTCCTACTTTGCCACATATTCACTGGGCAACCTGGAGCCAGTAACTTCATTTTTCCTGACTCAGTTCTTTCTTCTGTGAACTGGGAAGATTAAAACCCTCCCTCCAGGTAATTGTGGAGATAACTGTATAGGGACATGAGAGGTGTCCTGTGTGATGCCCAACAAATGTAGCTTTACACCTCCTCCTCTCTGCTCATGGTCCTGATGCCAGATTGTTTTGAATTGGCCCTGACCCTTGAATGCATCTGTGCCTTGCAGATCGGAGCATCTCTGATGTCCAGCAATGTGGGAAGCGGCTTGTTCATCGGTCTGGCCGGGACAGGGGCTGCTGGAGGCCTTGCTGTGGGAGGCTTTGAGTGGAATGTAAGAAGCTGACCTGGATGATCCAGGATAATGAGGGTCTGAAACTCCCTCCATCCCTGGCCTTACGGCTGAGAGAAACCTTAGAGGTGCTTAGAAGGTTGCATGGTAAATTGAGAACCCATTTTATAGATGAGGAAATCAAGGCCTGGAAGAGGCCGAGGGACTCATCTGAGGTCTGGAAGGGCTGGGTTTGGGCCCCAGGTCCTCCCCTCCCTGCTCAGGGCTCTCCCACTGCACACGCTGTCTCTGGGTAGGAGGCTGCCCTCCACCTTCCTTCACCATCTGGACCTTCTCCCCACTCTCCCAGGCAACCTGCCTGCTCCTGGCCCTCGGCTGGATCTTTGTCCCCGTGTACATCGCAGCCGGTGTGGTCACGATGCCTCAGTACCTGAAGAAAAGGTTCGGGGGCCAGAGAATCCAGATTTACATGTCCGTCTTGTCTCTCATCCTCTACATCTTCACCAAGATATCGGTGGGTACCACTCAGGAGCCCACCCTGACCCTGAAACTGCTGATTGAGGGACTTCTGAATGCAGTACCGAGGACTTGATGCAGAGAGGGACCCGGCAATCACAGGCTGGATGGAAGGAAGGGAGGGATGGGAGGAAGAAAGGAAAGAATGACAATGGAGAGACAGAAGGAAGGAAGGACCCAAATAACCTATGTGCTCCCCCAGATAAAGAGATGAATGACAAAGGTTTGCAGTGAATGGCAGCCCCAACTGTCAAAGAACTCACAGTCTAGAGTTTATCCATTCATTTATCCTTTCATTAACTGATTCTTCATTCAGAAATTAACTCTTCATTAATTGCCTAGAATATGAACTCAGGAAACAAACCCAGACAGGTCAAATGACGAACCCAAGTTAACACAGAAGGCCAGTCATCCTGGAAGTGGAGCTAAAGTTTGAGTCCCATGACCCAGTCCAGGTCCTTCTACTCTGCCATGGTGTAGACCTATGATGGGCTCATAAGGCATGGGGTGTAGTCAGCAAGCCTGGACTAATAGCAAATAAATCATTCAGTTGCCAGGTCCAGGGCTGAAACTCCTTAAGGCCCCTCTTCCACCAATCCTGCCAGCTTAGGCACAGCCTGCCCCCCTCAAGTCCTCCAATAAACCCAAACACGTAGGTTTTCCGGAACTCATGACCACCAGCACTAGGGCTCCTGCCACACTGAGTCACATATGGGTTCATCCAGCAGCCACGAGCATCTCTGTTCTATCAGGGAGCATCAGCAACCTGCTAAGTTCCTACTCTCTCCTCCTAAATATCCTCTCCTTCTCCTTCCCTAGCTCCCACCCTCACTTCCTCAATTTCCACTTCATTCCTTACCATTCCCTTCATGGCCAGCAGATCAGTCTATCAGCCAATTAAAATTTTCTTAGTTGCAAGGCTTTACGCAGAACTCCTTTGCTTTAAAATCTCCACAATTCCCAGTATCCACAAGATCAAGCCATACTCCTTGCTGTGAGCTTCAGGCTCACCTTCACTGTGCAGTGAAGGTTGAGGGTGCCTCATGTGCTGAACTGGTAGGTGACATACACACAGTGGCTATAATGAGGGACTCAGGTGGCTTTGACTTGTGGTCCTGGTTCTCTACAGACTGACATCTTCTCTGGAGCCCTCTTCATCCAGATTGCCATGGGTTGGAACCTCTATCTCTCCACGGTGATTCTGCTGGTGGTGACAGCTGTCTACACCATCGCAGGTAGGGCAGAGAGGTCCTATGAGTGTGCAGAGACTGAGAGACACAGAGAGAAAGAGAGGGACAGAGGACATAGAAAATCGATCCTGAGAGAATGAAAAAGAGGAAGAGACAGAGACAAAAAGGGGCTGAGACTGAGATGTGGGATAAGAGGAAAACCCAGAGGAACAGACTGAGTCACACAGTGGAATACAGGAAGAGGGGCTGAAAGGGAAAGAAATAGGGAAACAGAGCCAGGCAGATCGCCCAGGAGAGATGATAAGACTGAAAAGACCGCCTCTGTCAGGAAGCAGGGTACAGACGAAGGAACTCTTGCTGGACCAGAGTCACCATGATCTGTCCCCCCCTCTCCTGTTTCCCCCAAAGCATCTCACACATGGCTGTGCACCCTGGGACACTGCATAGGACAAACTGACTTATGGCTAAGTTTGCCTTGAAAGACAGGAGGCATTGGGATGGGAGTTGGGAGGGAAAGAATGCATTCCTGGAAGAGCTAACAGCACAATGAGGAATGGAATGGATAGTAACAGCAATAGTAAAGGAAGCTATGGCGTCCTGGCCACAGTCAGACACAACCAGGTGCAGCAAAACTCCACATAAACACATGGGCCTGTGACCAGCCTCCATCCTCCCAGGGTGGGATGGAGGGGAGCTTTAGGTGCAGGGAAAGGCAGGTGGCCAGAGTCCACTGTCCACAGGGTCTGTATCTTCTTGGGTCTTCCCAGCATGGCCAAGCACAGGCAAGGCACCTAGAGAAGATCCCCCTGTTGGTGCTGACTAATGAGGCTTCTCCTTGGTCCCCAGGGGGCCTCACAGCAGTGATCTACACGGATGCTCTGCAGACAGTGATCATGGTTGGGGGAGCCCTGGCCCTTATGTTTCTGGGTAAGGAAGAGGTCCCAATACATCCTATCTTCATCCTTATATTTTTCTCTGATCTGTCTTTGTCATTAGTACACCTTGCTTAGAACTTTCCAGAGCATGGACCCATGTCCCCTTGCTAATCCCGAGCTCTCAAAAAAGCAGGATTCTCTCTACTCCAAACCAGGGATCTTGAGCCTGAAACCCCATCTCCCTTCCTGCTTCCAATCCTCATGTTAGTTCCAACCCAGGCTCATCTTCATTGTGCAATAAAGGTTGAGGGTGCCCCCGTGTGCTGAACTGGTAGGTGGCATACCCAAGGCAGCCTTAACGTATGTTATAGATCTGGGAGCTGCGAGCACAAGCTTAATGGGGGCTCAGGACTATTTCTCTCACTGTGTCTCTCCCCTCAGGTTTTCAGGAGGTGGGCTGGTACCCAGGCCTACAGCAGCGGTACATGGAGGCCATCCCCAATGTCACAGTTCCCAATACCACCTGTCACCTCCCAAGGCCCGATGCCTTCCACATGCTTCGGGACCCTGTGAGTGGAGACATCCCATGGCCAGGTCTCATTTTTGGGCTCACAGTGCTGGCCACCTGGTGTTGGTGCACAGACCAGGTAAGGGTCACCACAGGGCTCGGCCTGGCCCATCAGGGATTGGGATGGATTCCTGCAGAAAAACCAGGTGCCTGGATGCATAGAGATCTGGACCTCATTCTGGGACTGAGGAGTCAGAGCACAGGCAGTGACCAGTGTCAGGGCTCACCTGTGGCTGAGCTGAGCCCCTCCCCATTGTGAGCAACTCACCCCCATTGCTGCCATTTCAGGTCATTGTGCAGAGGTCTCTATCTGCCAAGAATCTGTCCCATGCCAAGGGAGGCTCCGTGCTGGGGGGCTACCTGAAGATCCTCCCTATGTTCTTCATTGTCATGCCTGGCATGATCAGCCGGGCCCTGTACCCAGGTAAGAGCTAGTGCTGCTTTTGGGGCTTTGGGATGCAATTTGCAAGGGGTTTTCAGAGAAGGTGCTCCTAGGTAAGGTGGGGCCAGAACAAGAATTAGAAAGCATTTTCTACTCAGATTGCAGAGTAAGCATTTTAGGTTTTGTGGGCCAAACATGTAATAAGTACTTCAGCAGATGAAATTTGTATCTGAATGCCATTTTTATATCCTGTTTTCCCTTTATGGGAATGAAAACCAATAAGGCATTCTTGGCCCCTTCCAGGGATATTGCCTTCATCAAGATGTAAGACCTAAAATCCAAAGGATTGCAATGTTGTACCTGGGCAAGAAATTTTCAAGAAACCAGACATCACTTGCCCCTTACCTTCTAGACAAGGTCAGAGTTTCCAGTGAACACTTTCTTATAGTGTCGTAAAGCAAACAGTGGGCTGACCTTGTGAGGCACAAGACCCCACAACTCCAACTGCCATTCCTTCTTCTTCAGATGAGGTGGGCTGCGTGGACCCTGACATCTGCCAAAGAGTCTGTGGGGCCCGAGTCGGATGTTCCAATATCGCCTACCCCAAGCTGGTCATGGGTCTCATGCCCATTGGTGAGTCCTGTCTCCCTGCTCTCTATCCCAACTTGTGTGCCTCCTCCAATCTCTACTGCCCTGGAGGAATTGCCCTTCAAATGGATGGGAAGAGGGAAAAGAAGATCCACCTCTGCACCCCATTCTCTAATACACACACACATGCATACACACACTTCCACAAATATCTGTAACACACCTGCCCTGTGCCCTGGTGTTGGAATGAAGAGATAAAAGAAAGGCAGGTCTCTGCTCTCAGGCTTTATGCAGTCTCCAGGTTACTTGGACTCACCAGGGTACAGTACAAGGTCACCAGTGTGGCAACCCAGTGGGACAAAGGGAACCCTAAAGAGCCATAGACCCAGCCTTGGGGGAGTGTCAGGAAGGACTCCCCAGGGAAGAAAATGGAGTTGAACTCCAAGGACTACCTCAGGCAAAGGTGGGGAGATGTGACAAATGTTGTAGGGAGAAGAGATTGCTCATGCAAATGCCCAGCGGGAGGAGAGAGAGCGTGGTCTGAACCAAAAGGAGCCCAGCGTGGACTCACCAGGGAGAAATGGCATGGCCAGGTGAGCTCTGCAGCCTGTCCTTTTCTCTGAAGGCAACGGAGGGGACTGTAGACCAGAGTATGGGTGGCTGGATTTGTGCTTTAGAAGGTCCACTCTCTGTGGAGGATTCAGTATGGAGACAGGCTCTGGGGAGGCAGGGAGATGTCAGTGAGGTGTCTTCGGTGATCCAGGTAAGTAGCACCAATTACTTAACCAAAGCAGAGGTTTTGGAGATAGAGAGAAGCCATTTAAAGACATTGGTGAGGTAGAATCGGCAGGACTTGATGTATTTCAGGAACAAGAAAGACAGAGGAATCAAAGAGGACTCCCAGGTCTTTAGAAAGTGGATTAATAATGACAGTGCGACCGAGGACCTGGAGGGCAATCGATGTGTAGTTATTCCCTCCCTCTGGTAAAACGAGAAGTAAAAAAATAGCGGAGGTGGTGGGAGGCCCAGCTAGGTGACAGCAGCCAAGGAGGGACTGATGGATGGAGAGGGAGCAAACGGAGCAGAGGTGTCTCGTGGGAGAACTCTTATTGCCCAAGAGGAAAGCAGAGGCCCAGAGTTTGGAACCTTGAGTCAAAGGCACCTGTGAGTCTTACAGAACGTGATTAAATACATGGACTTTGGGGTAAAGAGTCCTGAGGTGGGACCAGGGCTGGGAATTCATTTCCTCAAGAGATAAGCAGTCCAGAAGCTTATCAGAGGGTCAATAGGTGACCCTCTCTTTGTTCAAGTGGGGAAAAAAAAGTAAAGGGCCCCAAAAGAGTCCTAAGAGCATCCATTTAGTTGGTTACTTGTGGAGTTAGGAAACAAACCCAGGCTTCTACTTCCCAGGCTGGGAGTTAGCCCACCACCACAATATGGTCATAGAAAACACTTTTTTAAAAAAGTAAAAACACTATAAACAAACAAATAATTATAAACATTCACCTCCCCCACCCCTCTACTCACAGGAACCCGATACTGTTTACAGCTGTGAAACCCAGACTGAGACATTGAAGCTACAGAGAACCTTAAGGATCACCAAGTCTTACACACACCTTATAAGGAGACCAAGGCTCAGGGAGGGCAGATGAGTCTCCTGCAGAAGCAGAGCCTGGCCAGAACCGGGACTCTGGCATCATGGGCCTCCTGATTCCATATCTGTGCTAGATGGGAACCTCACCAACGGCTTTCCTATCACCTCCCCACCCCAGACTCCTGGCTCTGACACTGCTGCAGCCTCCATGGTCCTGACAGAGCCCTTACCGGCCAGCTGTCCACTCCCGCTCATCTCTCCGCAGGTCTGCGGGGCCTGATGATTGCCGTGATCATGGCGGCCCTCATGAGCTCGCTCACCTCCATCTTCAACAGCAGCAGCACCCTGTTCACCATCGACGTGTGGCAGCGCTTCCGTAGGAAGGCAACCGAGCAGGAGCTGATGGTGGTGGGCAGGTGCGCTGGTCCTTCCTTCCATCCTCCCGGAGCACCCCCTTTCTGTAGGAGATTGTCTGGGTCTGGGCCCTGGACAGGCAGCCAGAGCCCTAGATTCTAGGGCTGACTTTCTATGGGACCTCAGGTAAGTCCCCCTCCATCTCGAGACCACTCCTCCCCTTCCAGAATAATGGAGACTTTCGCATTTAGACTTTCTCTTGGAATGGATCAACAGGGTACTTGAGAGAGGATGACAGAGCACTTGCGAAAGGAAAAGCAAACTGTGTAAGTGGGAGGAAGTTCAGCAAGCAGCTCACCCTCTCGGGTCTTTCAGACCAACTCTGGCTCTCATCTCCAGGTAATAGGAATGCTGTGAATCTAATCATCAGTCTCACCCCGAACACCGCCAGGTGTCTTATCCACACTAGGATGAGTCATGTGGCCCTGGCTTCAGGGTGCCCACAGTTTAATGAGATGGACAGAAACACAGATAACAGAGTGAGATACCTGCATCAAGGGAAAGTTGTTCATAGGAAAGTTGTCTCCACGTGATGCGGAGCCTTGAACAGCATGCTAGAGAATTTGAACTTATCTTGTTGGAATCAGTTTGTGCTTTTAAAGGCATAACTTGGTGGATGATTTTATCTAGTTCTTAATAGGATGGGGATTTATAGTTTTGTATAGGGTTAAGGGTCCTTTTTTTTGAAATCTCTGCTTCAAAATTTAAGGTTCCCCAACCAGGACTTTCTGGAGTAAAGGATGTTCCCCTCTTTGGTGGGTAGGCACATAGGTACTTGAGCTTTGACATCTCGCTCCTGCCTTTGACTCCCTGTTCTTTCCACCTGGATGCCTTCTGCCCAATGGAGTTCTGGCCCTAGCACAGGAAGTAATCATTGCCGGATCTGAGGGTAGGGCAGAGGAAGGGCATAAGCAACAGGGAGGCCACTCTGGTAGCCATTGCTCTAGTGGGGCCTGAGAGAGGGAAAATGGGAGGAAAAGGAAAGAGGACCATATGTGCTCAGAGACCTTCCACAAGTGTCCCTTTATCTTTTGCCCACCAACTGCCTAGTTTTGCTGAAATTTATTTAATTCATCAGTGGAATGTGGGCACCATCTCCTGGTCATCTGTATTATTGCATCCAGTACATCCAAAAAAATGTTTTTTCAACTTGTTTGCACATCTACAAAATTATTCATCAAGAACGCTTTGGGGCCAAGCACAGCGGCACACGCCTGTAATCCCAGCTTATCGGGAGGCTGAGGCAGGAGGGTCAAGAGTTCAAAGCCAGCCTCAAAAAAAGCGAGGTGCTAAGCAACTCAGTGAGACCCTGTCTCTAAATAAAATACAAAATAGGGCTGGGGATGTGGCTCAGTGGTTGAGTGTCCCTGAGTTCAATCCTGGTACTGTCCTCCACAAAAAAAGAATGCTTTGGGGACTTAGGACTGAGTGAGAATTAGTCAAGGGGGAGTCAGGAGAAAGAGAAAAAGGTGGAGTTCTTGCCTTAATCTTAGTGCCAATGTAAAGGAGAGAGTGAGGTTAGAGTTGAAGAAGTCTGAAGAAGGGAGAAGTTCTTGGAGGCTGAAGCCATCCTGGAGAAGGGAGCTATTCTGCACAGGGGCTGGAATGCAAAGAGCAGGAAAGGTGTGCTAAACAGAGCCCAGGGGCCTTTGACTGAGGTAGGTGGTGGGTAGAAGGCATGAAGTATTCCTTAAACAGTGGGTGAATGACATGACCTACAAGGCATCAAGCCAGGCACCAATGACACATGCCTATAGTCCTAATGACTCAGGAGGCTGAGGGAGGAGGATTGCAAGTTCAAGCTCAGCCTCAGCAACTTAGCGAGACCATGTCTCAAAACAAAAATGGCTGGGGATACACCTTAGTGGTAAAGTGCCCCAGGGTTCAATCCCAAGTGTCAAAAATAAATTTAAAAATAAAAGACATCCAATATGCAAGTGCTGAGATTTTTACAAATCTGAGTCTCTTGGATTCTGAAACTCTGATTTAAGGAATTTTCAGTCTAAGTTCCTGCATCTTAGTATTTGAGATTCTGACCTAACCTCCTCTGATCCCCTCTCTTCTCCTGTCCTGGTGTCTGTGCATCACCTTCACCTGCTGCAGGTCACGCCCACATGAGTGTGCCTCACAGCAACATGTGCTCTCCCTGCAGGCTGTTTGTGGTGTTCCTGGTTGTCATCAGCATCCTCTGGATCCCCATCATCCAGAGCTCCAACAGTGGGCAGCTCTTTGACTACATCCAGGCTGTCACCAGCTACCTGGCTCCACCCATCACTGCTCTCTTCCTGCTGGCCATCTTCTGCAAGAGGGTCACAGAGCCTGTGAGTGCAGTCCTCCTCTCTCTCCCTGTACAGCAGAGGGTCTAGAGTCCTGTCTGTCAATCTGCTAGTTTCTGGGACCTTGGACAAACACATGGGCCTTCTAGGTTTCCATGTCTCTGAACATAGCTCCAGGTCTAGATTCATTTGTCCACTCCACAGTTATCAGTCTGGTTATTACAGTTCCAGAGATGTCGTGGTTTACAAGGTTCACAGAGGTCTGTCCTCACGGGGCCAATTCACAGAGGTTATAGAGATTAATGCTCCCTTCTAACAATTGTCCACAAAAGGAAGAGATGCCACCACAAACTGCTACTATATAAAGACAAAGCACAGAAGGACCAGACTCCATGGAAGGATTCCTGGCGTTGGTTCAGAGCCATTCAACATGGAGCCCCAGTTGACATTGTAGTCCAGCTTTGAAGGCCCTAGCCTTTTCCGTACACTGCTCTGCCTGCCTTTTAAGTCAGGACAAAGTCTCAGCATTAATGGGGAACTTGCTAAAATGGACTTGTCCAACACTCTAACAAGCCAGTGGGAGAGAGATTTAGAAACACAGCAGCTTTTAGGTTCCGAGGTCCCCCTCTCTTGCTTCTCCAATGTCACCCCTGCCCATGTCTGCCCTCTATCCACAGGGAGCCTTCTGGGGCCTCATGTTTGGCCTGGGAGTGGGGCTTCTGCGCATGATCCTGGAGTTCTCATATCCAGCCCCAGGCTGTGGTGAGGTGGACAGGAGGCCAGCCGTGCTGAAGGACTTCCACTACCTGTACTTTGCCCTTCTTCTCTGTGGACTCACTGCCATTGTTATTGTCACCATCAGCCTCTGTACAACCCCCATCCCTGAGGAAAAGGTAAGTGTTGTGCTTATACTGAGCCCCCCAGAAATGCTTCCCTATCATTTGGAATGTCCTAATTTTCACCTTGTTAGGTTATGGTCTCCCCTGCTGCCATATAGATGTCCTTGGGAGCGGGGAACTCATAGGGTTGTGAATTTCCAAGAGAAAAGTAACTCGTCCGATTCAAAAATTACTCAGTGAGTACACTCTATGTGCCAGGCACTGTGCTGGGGTTATAGAGATTAATGGTTATGGGCATAAAGAAAAGCCCACAAACTGCTACTATGTAAAGACAAAGCACAGAAGGACCAGACTCCATGGGAGGATCCATACACAGAAGGGGAGGCAGCCTCCACCAGGATCAGGGCAGGGTGCACTGACACCGTCACTGTGAGTTGGACTGAAAGGAGTAGAGATTTTTTGAATGGTCAACAAACAAGTACATGAGAACAGAGAGAACTTTCCAATTAAGAACTCAACTCAAAATCCTCAACTCTTCCAAGCTGACTGATGTGCCAGTCCTGGAACCTGGATGACCAGTCTTTGGGGCCTTTTCCCCCTAGAGTCTGTACTAGTTTGCTAAGGCTATTGTCCCCAATACCACAGACTGGGTGGCTTACACAACAGAATTTTTCCTAGGGTTCTGTAGGGGAAATCTGAGACCAAGATGACAGCAGAGTTGGTTTCTTTTGCAACCCCTTCATGGCTTGTAGATGATGGTCTTTTTCCTTCTTCACATGGTCATCCCTGAGACTGTCTGTGACTTTTCCTCCTCCTTGTTTAAGAACACCAGTCACATATTACCTCATTTTACTTTAATTGCCTCTTTAAAGCCCCTACCTCCAAGTGCAGTTTTTATGGTTGGGATCTGAAGTGTTTCCGAAAAGATAATGTGTTGAAGGCTCGGTCCCCGATGCAGCAGTATTCAGAGGTGGGGCTTGTGGGAAGTGATTGGATCATGAGGGCTCTGACCTCACCAGGGCATCAGTCCAGTGACAGCTGATTGGAGGTGGTGGAAACAGTAGGCAGGTGAGGCATGGTTGGAGGAAGCAGGTCCTTGAGACCATGCCTTGGGGCCAATATCTTATCCCTGGCTCCTCCCCCCACCTGCTGTCCCTCTCTCCTTTCTGGCTGCCGTGAGCTGAGCACTTTCCTCCATTATGCACTTCTGCCATGATGTTGTATCATGGATCCAGCCAAGTAAGGATTGAAACCTCTGAAACAATGAGCCCAGATAAATCTTTCCTCCTCTAAACTGTCTTTTTTTTTTTTAGGTACTTACCATAGCAATGAAAAACTAATAAATTATGTTAGCAGTGGTCATATTATGAAATACGGGTTCAGACTTTAACATATGAATTTTCAACTAATGACAGAGCCCATGCCAGAATTTGGTACCTGAGATACTGGGTGGAAATCACAACTGACACAATCACCTGTAAGGTGATTCATTGATTTTTTTGTGTGTGGTACAGGGAATTGAATCCAGGAGTGGTCTACCCCTGCACTACTACATAGATCAGTTTTAAATTTTATTTTGAGGGTCTTGCTAAGTTGCTCAGGACCTAAGTTACTGAAGCTGGCCTAAAACTTGAGATTCTCCTGCCTCAGTCCCTGAGTCACTAAGATTACAGGCATGTGCCACCATATGCCAGGCCGGTATGGCGCTTTAGAGTTTGCATGGCAACTTCACACTGTTGGTTCCTATGAGCCTTACAAACAAGTGGGATCTCACAGATGAGCCTTAGAGATGGACTCCTCCTGAGCTCCCTCCAGAAGCCACCTGTCACTGAGTCTTCTCCTTTGTTTGCCTTTGTGCTCTTCATGCTCAAGTCCTTCCCCATTGAGAATCTCTCCTGGATCCTACAGGTGTTTCTCCCTCCCTCTCTTTCCTCCTGGTTTTTCTTTTCTTTTTTTTTATCCCCTCCCTTCTGATCACTTTTCTACTTCTTCATGGGCTTTTCTTTCTGCCCATAACCATTATTTTTCCTTAGGAACCCATTTATGGCCTACAATAGAATTTTCACTCAGTGATATCCCTGGGTTATGAAATCAACCACTTTCTACATTTCAGTTCTCTATCTCCAAGCCAAAACCCTTCTCCCAAGGTTCAAACCCCCACACTCAACTGGTTCCTGGTGACATAAAGTGTCTTCATTTACATGCTCCTAGTGACACACAGTGTAAGTAAGATTTATTATGAGATGTGGACAAAGAAGCTGCCCAGGCTCCCATGATCCCATAGAGAGGCACCTGGGGGCCTGGTGCAGCTGGACGGGCAGGGGAAGGAGGAAGCTGGGAGCACAGCAGGGATAAATGGATCAACAAGCAAACAGAGCTCCCCACAGGGGAAGAGCCTGGTTAGAAAGGAGGTGGTTCTGAACGTAGGGGTCCAACACCACTGGTGTCAGCCAGATAACCTGCTGTGCATGTCTGCTGGGCCACTGAAGAGGGAGAAAAAGGAACACCACCAGGGCCATCCAGGGGACATAAGGGTTTTTTCTCCTCACTGAACTTCTTCTCCTGGAAGTTCTACATATTCTTCAAGCTCAGCTTCATATTCATGTGTGCACTCCCCCTTTCTCTCTCTCCCCCCCGCCCCATCTCTCACCAGCATGAAAATTTGATCCTGTCCTGTGTCCTTTATCCCTGAGGAGGAATAAGACCCATTTGATCATCCAAGGCAGGAACCCACAGGCCCAAGCTAGCTCCCTCCTCTCTCCCTCATCTGACTCCTTCAATAGGTCACCACATCCTGAAGAATTTACCTCCCTAACATCCCTTAGGACCGCTCCCTCCTATCCAATACCACAGAAAAACAAGATTTCTTGTTTCACTTTTGGAACAGCTTCTAGGTTGGACCCCTTCAATTTACTCCAAGAGATCTTTAAAAATCTCAGAACTTTCACATGCCCTACAAGGAGCTGAGGCTGTTGTTTATTAAATATCAACTCCTCAGCCTGACCTTTGAAGCCTTTTGTAATCAGGCTCCTGCCTCCCTGTCCAGCCTGGTTTCTCTCAGTCTGTGAGTTCCATGAGGCCAGGTCCATGTCTGATTCTGGTCTGTCTGCCTGCACCCAGCACAGACCTGCTGGAGGTCTGTGCTCAGATCTAAAGGGGCAGCCAGGGCTAAACCAGGCTCCTGACCCTCAGTCCTGGCCTTGTTCCTCTGAGGGCCTCCCATGAATGGGGCCTCTTTCTCTGCAGCTGGACTTCCCTCCAAAGGCACTGACTCCTGATGGCATATCCTTTCCTTCCAGCTTGTTCGTCTGACCTGGTGGACAAGGAATTGCACCCGCCCTGAGCTGGAGAAGGAGGCCTGTGAGAATGAGGAGAGCGCACCAGGGCTGGCAGAGGGGGCACCTGGGGAGTGTCCTGCAGGAGGCGGAGCAGCAGGGGACCTGATGGAGGAATTGGAGCAGGTTGGAGGTAGGCTGAGGGCATGCTAGGGATGTGCTTCACAGAGGAACAATGGGGACAGATGCCATGTCATGGGCCTCCAAGGCCCCACGTTGGGGTCACTGGGGATGGGGTCTCTGAGGGAGCCCAATAAATATCATCTTCTTCCCTTCCTTTGTGACCATTAAACTATTTGAGAAAGAAGTCAGATTAGTAAGATAGATGGGACCAAACCATTGCCCTCATTACTGACATAGTGTACATGGCAAGATTTGTTTTATATCCACGGGGAGGTGTGCTCCCTGAATTGAACTCCAGCATTAGACCGAGGTGCTCTCTGGTCACCAAGCAGACCTAATCAAATAGCCCAGCCCACCCTGTGAAGGAGAGTTGTACAACCAAGTGTGCCCTCTTATCCTTCCCAAATCTGCCAACAGGAAGGTCCTTTCACCTCCCTGGTTGAAGAAATATATGGCAGAAAATCAAAAAGAGTTCTACATCTACTGAGTTCTCTCCACGAGGAAGGGAATGTCAGCCAGGGCAAAGAAACCCTTCCTGTCCCCACCACCACTTATTTATTTCCCACTGGGTTTAGCACTTCAACCTACAGTCACATGAAGGCATGACTGTCCCTGGTAGGAGGAGAGCAGACACGTGCCCAAATAGTTGTGTCTGTCTGCATGAGTTGCCCCAGAACAATCCCCTCCTGGGGGCGGGGGGTCTCCTTGAAATGGGCTTATAAACTGTGCCTCCCAGAGGTCCTGAAGTGTGCTAGAATATAGAATAGTACATTAATTTCAATTGTTGTAAGACAAAATGCAACTGTCTTAGACAAATTGCAGCTTCCTCCTTCCTGTGGTGAGATTAAATAATATTAAGACATTCTTATGATAGAAGGACATTATTGAGATTCCTCAACTATAATATTCCCAAGGAAGATTTTAAAATCCAAAAAGTTATATCAGTCTGCAAGGTAACATCCAAAAAGCAATCTATCTTGTTCTTATGAATTAAAAATTCAATGAAATTTAAGTCCTAAATTTATCTCCTGCCTCACTCAGAGGACATCCCAGTGCCTGGATGGCGTTGGGGTTCCTTGGCAGCTGCTTTCCATTGGATTTTCATGGTTCTGTCAGGCCTCAGACAATGTCTTAGTTCTATACCAGCCTCAGGGGTGTCCAATTTCCCATAATTCTGGCAAGTTTAAAAGCATAGACAAGATTACCAAAGCATCATTTGGTTGGCAGTGCTCTGCCACTGGTTCTTGGGCTTTTGTCAGGTTCAGAGGGCCTTGTGCTGTCCCTGAGGCCCAAGCAAGCTCCTATGTTTCTTGAGGCCTTCAATCTGGAGAAATACCCACTTTCCCAGAATTAATCAAAAGCTCTAGATCCCCACCAAGGTTAAGGTTCAAAGCTTCTTGCCCAAGCCGCAGCAGTTAAACGTCAACGGCCCACTATAAAAAGCTGTCTATAAAGCCAGATAATCCTTTACAAACCTCCACCGTCAAAACACACATGGACTCACTTCAGAAAGAACCACCAAAGATCAAAGCCAAACTTCTTGGTCTTAGTGGTTGACCCAAATACTTCAGGTGTATTTTGCTTGGCAAAATGCAATTCCTTGTCTCTTTTTCAAGTTTGTGGCCAATGCACCAGATGTTGGGGTCTCAAAATCACCTCCCCACATCATTGAAAGGACTAGGTCCTCTCCCCTAAAAGGCTTCTGGCATGGGAAGACCCTTCTGCAAGGAGGAGCCCTGCATAGGTGCAGCAGCTCCCAGGAGGAGGAGGAGAAGGGAAGGCGAAGAAGCCATAAAACATCTCCCAGAGAGAGCGAGGAGGAGGCAGCCTGTACTACCTGCAGCTAAAACCCAGAACAGGCAGACCAGACCCTCACACTCCCTGGATGGCCTCCAGGCCCAGGGCAGAGCATCTCTGGAGAGCAGACAGGAATGAATGCCTATGCCCTGTGGATGGCCACTCCAACAGGAGGAAGAGAAGGCTCTGAGTCAGCCACAACATCCAAGGAGAGAAACCCATGTGCCTCCACACAGGCCACTGGGGAAGAGAGAAAGGGCAGGGAAGGTCCTGCTGCTGTGCAATGTGTGCAGTCTACTCCCTGGGAGAGAAACGAACATCAGTAATCAGGAGGAAGCAGCCCCCGCAGAAAGGCCCACGGGCAGGTGTAGGCCAGGCAGCATCATTTTGAGTCAAAAATAGAAATTTAAAGGGCAGTGAGTTGATCTAAAAGAAGTATATACATCCCAGGTTGATTTTTGCACACTGTTTAGTAACTACTTAGATGAAGTGGACTTTTTGGGTCTGTGAATTCACACATGAAACCCTGTGTTTCATCTACCTCAGGGACCACAGAGAAAATCAAAGAGAGAGAATATGGGCCAACTGGTAAAAAGCCCAGCACCATCAAAATGTTGAATTCATCTTGTTCTTAGTGTAGCTCTGCAGCTGTGTGACCTTAAACAGGTCTCTTCCCTTTCCTGAGCACTTTTTCACCTTTATACAATGAAGGAGACAGGCCAGATGGCATCCAGGCCCCTGGTGTCTCTGACACTCTGTGGTTACGATAAACTCTCCAAGTACCCCATCCCAAAGCCATTGGATAATGTAGTGCTCATTCCCAGTGTTCTTTGCCATCTCCATGAAAGCCTTTTTATATTACTTTTATGTGGTATACTTTCAAAAAATTTACTTTCTTTGTTTCTTTTAAACTTAGATTTTTTAAAAAATAAACTGTGCTAGTTTTAGTCTCTGAGTGGGCCCTCTGCACACTGGAGGGGGGCCTTGTGCATTTCCAACATTATATTCCCCAGAGCCTCTTCTCCCTAACCAGCTCTAGTAACTTTTTAAGTGCTGCCAAATCTCCATTTTCATTCCATGCCCAAAACTACTCTTACAAGAACGGGGCATACGTCACTGAGGCATTTGGGGGAGAAAGTACCAGCAGCTCAGAGGACTGGAGTGGACTGTATAGGCCTCACAATCTGCTGAGGCTGAGCTGGCCCTGGAGCCAAGAGTTCCTGGCCTCCAGTGCAGTGCCTGTGTCTGTCTTTCCTCACAGCAGGGGCGGCAGTCTGTCTGGCTCAAATGCTTCCTCCTTCCTTTAGAAGATTATGTTCTTCCTCTGACCTCATTCTGGACTCACACTCTGATTCGGGGTGAACTGTGTTGTTCCCCCACCTTAACACACCACCCCCCTGCAAAAAGATGCTTCAACATCATGAATGGATGTTGTGGCCAAGGCCAGAGCTCAGCTGAGATCCCAACTCAGCAGAGCCTGTGGTTTGCACAAAGGGCCCCTCCCCACTTTTAGGGCACCCACCCACTCCTTCAGCTTCTCACCATCTCCCACCCCCACTCTCATCATTTGCTTGCCTCCCTCCACCCTGCTCCCCTTCCCCTCTGGCCTTCTTCTCCCAGCCCCACACAGGTCCTGGGGAAAGCTGCTCTGGAGCTGGTTCTGTGGGCTCTCCAGGGTCCCTGAGCAAGCTCTGAGCCCAGCAGAGAAGGCTGCACTAGAGCAGAAACTGACCAGCATTGAGGAGGAGCCATTGTGGAGAAGCGTCTGCAACATCAACGCCATCCTCCTACTGTCCATCAACATCTTCCTCTGGGGTTATTTTGCATAACTTCACAGACCTGGCTTTGGCCAAGACAGATTCAACACAGAGACAGGCTCTCCTCTCACCTGCTGTCAAACTGGAGGCCATAGAGCTGAAGCCACAGGAACCCCTGAAGAGCATCTAATCCAACCATACTTGGCAAGTGGGAAACAGAGGCCCAGAGAGAACACTGGGTTTGCCCAGGACCAGATAGGATTCAGGGCATTTCTGGACTCTTGCTCTCTTTCCATTACACCGTCTTACATTCCTACCTCAAAATCAACATTTCCACCCTCTTGTTGAGTCTACTCTGGAATCTTCTGTATGTGAGTCTTGAGGTTAGAAAAGTGGAAAATACAAGTGGTGTACTAGCAACAAATTTGCAAAAAGTCAAGTGTCCCTTCACCGTACTTTTTTCTTTTCCCCGTCTAGAGCCCCTATGTCTCTGTCTATTCTCAACCCCTGGTAATCTATTTGAAACCTGAGTCTACTGAGAAGGGCTTTATATTTCCATTGGTGGCTCCACAGTTGTGGCCGTCAGATCCAAAGGAGTGAGGGGTGAGGGTGGAATTTAAACATGACGACAGATGGCTCTGGAACAGGGAGCTCTTGGAGAAGGGACCCGTCTTGGCATTATCACAATTCGTCTCACTCCTACACTCAAACCTAACCCTGCACAGTTTCCATGGCTGCTTCAGAGAACTTAAAGTCCAGTTGGAGGCAGGTGATGTATTGAAAGCAAGGAGAATCAAGAGATGCTGCTCTGCATCTCGAGGTAGCCCTCAGGGGCAGCACACAGCCCGGAAGCCACCATCTGTGAGCCTCTGTCCCTCTCCCTTTGCCTGTCTAGCCTGGAAAATACCTGACTTGCTTAAGTGCCCCTTCTCCAGGAAACTGCCCTAACACCCCAGTCAAGATTGCCCTCCTACTGTCACAACCCCTGGACCTGCTTCTATCTGGGAACTGGTCACACTGATTGGTGATGTCTCCCTCCTTGATGGTGCACTCCAAGGACAGGGGCCAATGGCTATGCCCAAAGTGACTTTGTACCCAGAATAACAGGTGCCAATAAATGCTTATGGACCTAATAAATCCTCCAAGGTCTGGTGGGTTTTGTGCTGTCACTGGCTAGGCAGAGACTTGGGGAGTCAACAGGTTGGGAGGCATCTACTTAAAGAGGAACCCAAACAACCGAGTGTCAGATGGCGAGAATGAGATTGCTGCCCCTGCCACTGACAGTATCCAAATGAGAAGAACCCACCTTCCCCCCGTGCAGGGGCTGCGCCACTCTCCTCTGATCCTCTTCAGTGCTGCCTTTGATCATCACTGTACACCAATCTCTGATCATGCCAGATACAAATACAATCCTGTGTCTCCGAGGTGCAGACATAGCCAAGTCTGTGACTACCTCTTGTAATTACTGCCTCCAAATTTTGGCTCCCAATCTTTGGACCTCTTATGAGACATGAGGTTTCTTCTCAGATATCTGATCGCTGTTCCTCACTGACCCTGAGAACTCAGCTTTTCCCTGATTTCCCCCAAAACCTTTCAAGCAAGTCATTTGTGGACAACAGCTTATACTGAAGGTTTGCGTGGGGAAGGTCTATAGACCACAAAAGCACAATCTAAAATTGAACGTGGACCATCCAATTTTAAACATTCCTTAGCAGCCCCCTAGGATTCCTCAGAGATCTCCTCCACCTCTTCTCTAATCTCCTGCTGCAGGAGGGTTCTCAGTCCTCTCTGTCCCTGTCCCTGCAATTCTCTCATGTCTCCCCCTCCTTCTGTTTCTGGTTCTCCTCCTTTATTATGCAGAGCCTCTGCTGGACTCCAGACCCACCTCATCTGACTCACAGATCCACAGGCACGCTGTTGAATGCACAGAACTGAAGGAAGGACAGCTGTCCCTGTGCCTGGTTAATTCCTACTAGTGCCTCACATTTCAGCTCAAAAGTTACATCCTAAGAGAAGCCACATGTTATGGTATGGATATGAAGCATCCCTCAAAGATGCAGGTGTGGAAGGCTTGGTCTCCAGTGTGGTGTGTTTAGAGCTTTGGGAATTGAATGATCGGATCAATGAGTGGGGAGTGGCTGGTGCAGGGACTGGAAGGTAAGCTGGCGCCAGCTAAACCTTATCATCTCTTCCCTGCTCATTTCAGCACCCCTGGACTTTTACATTTTTTCCTAGTTTTCCTTTTCCAATCCATCCTATCCAGCTAATAAAACCCCACATTTCATGGAAAGGGAAAACTGAAGCCTTCTGGGAGGAATGGGACTTCTTAAGGTCATACAGAGAGTCAGCCACAATTGCCCAGGCCTTTCAAGATGAAAGGTGTTTCACAGGTGGCATGCGAGCCAGGTGTGACATTGGAGAGGCTGGAGAGAGCAGACATTTGAAGCACTTATTCATCACCAGGCCTGGGTTTGGCCTACCATGGCATACAACTCTCGCAACAATTTTTATCTTCATAAATGTGTCTATTATGTTCTCACTATTTAGAGGGGCTTCCCAGTTCTTGTCCAGCCTTCCTTCACCTATCCAACATCATTGTTCATGTAGCTCCTTTTCCCTGGAACATTCACGCCTGACCTCCTACCCCACGCCATCTATCTCCTAGGATAGGAATCATTCTTCCAACAGACCTTTCCTGAGGTCTCCCAGCTATCCAGTTTGCTTTGTGTCCTTCCTCTGAGTCTCACAGGCTCCCCTCTATTTCTTTCCACCATAGTAAGTCTCTTGTTCGTGTTATATTTTTCTCCGTGCCATGGACTGGTGCTCTTCCTAGGGAGTCAGTGTGTTCACCCAGGGACTGCATGATGTGAGGGCATTTAGGAAGTGCTCAGGAAATGTCCAGTGAATGAGTGGATTCATAAATGTTAACTTTACTCCATAATATTTTGACTCTTTTAATTCCTAACCATAACCAAGAATAAATGATGAACAGTATCTCTATAGACTAGAGTTACAAGGCCCTCCCGGGTCTGAGGTCCCATTAAATTCCTATCACTCCTAGAGGAGGTAGGCAAGTGTCTCACCTTTTGTAGAGAGGCCAGTCTCATCCACACCTGACCTGAAGGACAACACAAAGTAAAGGAAAAACAAGGCATCCTCTTCTGCTTTGGAGTTCCAAGCCCTGGGTCTCCACATTAGAATGCCTTTAGAGGGATTTGAGGAGCATCTGGAGGCAATGTCACCCATTTGTGCCTCAGTTGCCCCAATCTCCAATGCAGCACATCAGCCTCATTGACTCTGGTGCTCCCATGGCCCTTTTCCAACACTGCCACCTTTAACACGCTCTCTCTCCTTCCATCGGGGTGCTGTTCTCAGGCTGATGTCTCAGTATCTACCCGCTCAGGGATAAGGGGTCACCTGGCCTGTTCAATGTGCACTTCAGCAGTCCTTGGCCCTCTGTGGTGGTGAGGGCAGTGACTTGATTGCAGGATGATGCCAGTTACCTTACCAAGCCACTTGAAAGGAACTGCCTTTCCATTGGACCAGTTGGCAGTCACCACAGAGTTATATCACCTCTTTTCAACCTTTCAGGGTCCCCACCCCAGTTCACGACCCTGCATGAGGCAGGGACCAAAGACTTGTATTCTAATTTGAATTCTTAATTTTGCTACTACATGCTTTGTAACCCCTTCCCATACCTCAGTTTCTTCAACCTTAATAAAGGGGTGGGATGCAGAGTTTTGACCCTTCTAACATTGACATCATATGCTTTGAATTCAACTCCACATTTGTCTTCTTGGGGCAGTGAGTGGGTGGGTAGGTTGACATGCCAGCTTGAGTGGCAACAGCACAAATAGAAAACACTGAAAAGTCATTTTCTGAGAATTGAAATGGGTTTGCCATGAGCAATAATAACATTAAGAAGCAGCTTTGGACTGTGAAAGGACAGTGTTTAAAAACAAATAGTGTTTTTAAAATACCACGAAGAAATGTATTTTAAAGTGATTTGCAATTGAGTTTGGATCACAAAAGTACTCAATTTAACACATGAGACTTACAACTATGTCCCTGGGTGTGAGAGCTCGCATCAGTCAGAGGCGGGTGGAAACTGCTGGAAGCTCAGGCAAAAGCAATGTCAGTTTTCCATTAACCTAAAATGAGTGTCTCTCTAGAATTCTAGCTGTAAGTAAGATGACTATAATTTCTCTTTTTTCCCCTCCAGGGTGAAAAGTTGGAAGAATTTTAAAGGTTATATATAAATATAAATCCTAGAGACTTAAATTGAGGCAGTTACAGTTTACTTTCATATTTCAAAATCAAATCTCAGCTTTAGCACTGATTCACAAAGTAGAAATGTCAGGCTTTTTACTGTGATCTCATATTGCATCTACAACTTTCATTTAAAAAAGTTTAAGAAGAAACCAACCTTTATACCTTATCTCCTGAAGAGAATAAAAAAGCTTTGGTCCATCTCTCAGTATGTTTGTATGTAAATTTTAGAAATACAAATGTTCAATATGAGAACAACCCCAGAAGCAGGCTGGTGCAGCCCTCATTTCCTCCTTGGCCCCAGTCAAAACTTTCTCATCAGCCTCTGGCAGGCAGGTTAGTTGGCCCTATGCTTGCACACTGCCTATGATGGGGAACTGACGACCTCCCAAGACAGAGTGCCCATCACTGAACCACAGGAACAACTGAAAAGTTCTTCTTTCCCCAACTAGACACTGCATCCCTGCAGTTTCCAACCACTTATACAAACTGAACAATATGAAGATAACTCAAATGAATCATTTGCTTCAATATTACATTCTCATTATTTGTGATTTCTTCTTAAAGGAATAATTCACAAAGGTGAAAACTCCCTATAGAAGACTAATAAAACTGGTATTTAAAAACAGCCTCACAATTACTGTATAAAGATGTCTCCACATCCATCATCTCATTAGTCCTCAACACCACTCTAGGATGGCAAGTCATTTACAAATGGAGAAACAAACTCACAGAGATGAAGAGCTGTGTCCTAGTCCTGCCACTTAATGGCCAAATTGGTCCTTGAATTCAGACTTCTGATG